GCAGGAGTTAGAGTGTAGTTAACAATTAGAGAAAAGACATTACCCAGGAGCACAAGAAGGAGAGAGAGTGGAGGTGGAGGATGGATGGACAGAGATGTAACTCACGGTTCTTGCAGGTGCCAGTGGGGAGTGCTTTTGGAGCTGGCTCTGTGCACATTGTCCACCACTAACCAGGGGTGGGGAAGGAAGGTGATGGCCTGTGCACTTTGGGAGCACGCAGGCATGAGGTTGTCCTTATCTCCTGTCTGTAGCAGATGTCTCAGGGAGGTGGAGATTACTGCAGTGGAGCAAAAGTGGGCACTGAAAGCTTGGTACTCAGGTGGGAATGAACTCAACCAGATTTCAGCAGGCGTGGGCGCAAGACTCTTGAATGTAGAGTCTCTGCTCTGGGTCTCAAACGCTACGGGTGGGAGGGCACAGCAGGGCAGAGATTGTGGGAGGCATGTGGCTATGTGCTTGGACAAGCCAGTGTGCTGATATTGACCTCTATTCTGAGGGTCTGTGGACGTGTAGCAGAATATAGGCAAGGGAACGCATGCAAGGCGTGCGCTGGGTAAGCAGGAGAGTCTAGACAACACACCCTGTTGGAAGTGGCTCGTTCATTCTTGAAGTCTGTGGGTGTCGTGCCTCGCTTTGGTCGCCACCTGTGGTTCAAAATTTGCACAGGGTGCGGGTGCGGGCACGCCCCTCGACTGACTCCGTCCTGGGAACTGTGGTTGCAGAGGAGAGAGAGGGCCCTGCGGACAGCTACAAAAGAGAGAACGGGTACTCAGCATGTCGGCGGCCGCAGCTGAGTCCCTGGGGAAGTCCACGAAGGCAGGACTGCTGTTGTAGGGGAGAGTGCTCCACGGGCTGCTGGAACAGGGAGAGCTCCACAGGCCCTGGAGCAGGGAGTGCAGGGACAGCCTGCTAGAGCAGGGAGTGTGGGAAGGGCTTTCCCCACCAGAGTTTCCCACTTACACAAAGAGAGTCCAGAGTCCCAGGAGACACGTGGAGTTGAAGACATGGAGATTTTATTGCCATGGTGATGTATCTGAATGGTGGTGCTCTCCCACAAAATGCCAGGAGGGGCTCCCTTATATTGGGGAGAGGGGAAAAAGGAGGGGCTAGGGCCTTCAGGTAAATCTTGAGCCAGAGACCTGTTTCATGCTCTCTACCTGTGCCTTACATGACCCACTGCATGTTAGGTCTCTGGGTTTGGGGATGTGGCCAAACACCCCAGGATTAACACAGCCCCACAGTTCTTGTTGTTTCTCGATGGTTGATTTCAGCCCTAAATTTGTTTACTTCCTGTCATCTATTTCTCTTATGTGTATTTACTTCCATTGCTTCTAGAGCTGTCAGGTATGCTGTTAAGTTCCTAGTGTATGCAGTCTCTAAATTCTTTATGAAGGCTCTCAGAGCTATGAGTTTTCCTCATAGAACTGCTTTTATTGTGTCCCATATGTTTGAGTATGGTGTGCCTTCATTTTTGTTAAATTCTAAAAAGTCTTTAACTTCTTTCTTTATTTCATCAGACCATGTTATCATTGAGTAGAGAATTGTTCATCTTCCCTGTGTATGTAGGCTTTCTGTTGTTTTTGTTGTTAGTGTGGATCAGCTATACTTGTTGGTGTTCTGATTCAATTCATTAGATTAATTCAATCTTCTTTTATCTGTTGTGTCTGATTATATAGTCAGTTTTGGAGAGGTATCAGGAGGTCCTTAGAAGAAGGTATATTCTTTGTTTTAGGGTGAAATGTTCTGTAGATATCTATTAAATCCATTGGTTCATAACTTCTGTTAGTTTCACAATGTCCCTGTTTAGTTTCTGTTTAAATGACATCTCTATTGGTGAGAGTAGGGTGTTGAAGTTTCCTACTATTATTGTGTGGAGTTCAATGTGTGCTTTGAGATCTTTACTAATGTTCCTGGTACAAATGTGCCTATCCTTGCATTTGAAGCATAGATATTCAGGATTGAGTGTTCATCTTGATGTATTTTTCCCTTTGATGAGTATGAAGTGTCCTTTGCCACTTTTCTTCGTATCTTTTGGTTGGAAGCCTATTTAATTTGATATTAAAGTGGCTACTCTAGCTTGTTTCTTGGGACTATTTGCTTGGAAATTTTTTCTTGCCTTTTATTTTGAGGAACTCTCTGTCTTTGTCACTGAGGTGTTTTTCCTATATGTAACAAAATGCTGGGTCCTCTTTATGTATCCAGCCTGTTAGTCTTTGTCTTTTCATTGGTGAATTGAGTCCATTGATGTTGAGAAATATTAAAGACCATTAATTGTTACTTCCTGTTATTTTTGTTGTTAGAGGTGAAATTATGTTTGTGTGGTTCTCTTCTTTTGGGTTTGTTGTGAAAAGATTAATTTATTTTATGTTAGGTATAGTTTTCCTCCTTTTTTGCAGTTTTCCTTCAATTATCCTCTGAAGGCCTAGATTAGTGGAAAGATATTGTTTAATTTTTTTTTTTTGCATAGAATATCTTGGTTTTTCCATCTATGGTAATTAAGAGATTTTTCAGGAGCCTGATGGTAGCCTGATCTGCCATTTGTGTTCTCTTAAGGTCTGTATGGCATCTGCTCAAGATCTTTTGGCTTTGAGAGTCTCTGTTGGGAAGTCTAGTGTAATTCTGATAGGTCTGCCTTTATATGTTACTTGACCTTTTTTCCTTACCACTTTTAATATTCTTTCTTCTGTGCATTTGGTGTTTTGATTATGAAGTGATGGGAGAAATTTCTTTTCTGGTCCAATCTGTTTGATGTTCTGGAGGCTTCTTGTCTGTTTATAGCCATCTCTTTAGCCTAGGAAAGTTTTCTTCTATAATTTTGTTGATGATGTTTACTGGCCCTTTGAACTGGGGATCTTTGTTCTCTTCTATACCTATTATTCTTGGGTTGGGTCTTTTCACTGTGTCCTGGATTTCTTAGATATTTTGGGTTAGGAACTTTTTACACTTTATGTTTATTTTGGCTGTTGTGTCAATATCGTCTATGGTATCTTCTATGCCTGAGATTCTTTCTTGTCTCTTGTATTCTGTTGGTGATGCTTACATCTGTGACTTCTGCTCTCTTTCCTAGGTTTTCTAACTCCAGGACAGTCTCTGTTTGAGTTTTCTTTAACGATTCTACTTCCATTTTTAGATCCTGGATGGATATGTTCAATTTGTTCACCTGTTTGGTTGTTTCCCTGTATTTCTTTAAGACATTTATGTGTTTCCTCTTTATGGGCTTCAAATTATTTACCTGTGTTCTACTGTATTTTTAAAGAAAGTTATTTATGTCCTATCCTACTTAAAGTCCTACCCAATTCCTCATGAGATAATATTTTAAATCAGAATCTTGCTTTTCTGTTGTGTTAGGGTATCCAGGGCTTGCTCTGGTGGGGAAACTGGGTTTTGATGTTGTCAAGTAGCATTGTTTTCTGTTGCTTATGTTCTTGCACTTGCCTTTCTCCATCTGATTATGTCTGGTGTTAACTGGCCTTGCTACCTCTAATGGAGCCTGTCACTCCTGTGGGCCTCGTTATGTGGGACTTTGTTAAGTCAGGCTGTCTCTGCATATGGGAGGGTGTCTGGAAAGCCTGATCTGTAGCCTGGTTGTGTCAGAACCCCAGGGGTCAAGCTGTGTGTGGAAGTGATAGGGAGTGGGACTGAAGCGTACAATCTGATCCTGAGCATAGATTTAAAATGGAAGGAACTTGTGTCTTTCACAAGACTGGAGGTCCTGCATCCTATGGGCCCTAGGGTTATTAGTTATGCCATGTATTGGTGTGGTGGTAGGGCACTCACCTGTGAACCTGGATGTGTCAGAGCACCTGGGAGTCAAACTGTCTCTGAGTGTGGGCAAGGTAGGGGGCTAGAGCACAGAATCAGCTCCCAGGTGCCAATGTGAATGGGAAGGGAGTTAATCTTGAATTGATTAAGACTAATGATTTCAGTTGAGTTATCGCTTGTTTACAATTGAATTTTGTTTTATAATCCACAATTTGTGGAAGGAGCATTTTTCCTTCCTTCCCACCCCATGTGTTCTAATTCCAGTTGATTTTTCATGTATATTTATGTGTGTGAGAGTTTTTGTGTGCATGTATGTATGTTTTGTATATGAAATATACACCTGAAAAAGTAAAAAGTGTTTTAAAATACCTTATTTAAAGATGCTTAATGTGACTTATCCTTACCCCATGCCCTCTCTGTTCTGTCCATCATTTCATTAACAACTGCTTTCTACTCCCTCCATGCTATTTCCCTTCCTTTTAATTCCATCTTTTCTCCACTATCCCCTTCATTTAAGCAGTTTCTTCCTCACTCACTCACAGTGCATTCTGTCTCTTTGTCTGGCTTCTATGAGAAATCCAGGTTATACACACAAATGAACAGATTGAAGGGATATGTCACTGCTGTCAGTGTATTGCTTTGGTACTGTTAGTGTGCCAAAAGTAGAGTTCTACTTTGTAAATGAGTTATCATCCATCCTTTGCTTTGTTCTGTGTTTTCCTTAGGCATATTCTTCTGTTTGTAAGACCTATGCAGTCTTTTCACTGTTCTCTGTAATGCTGAGAAACAGTTTTTCAAATGTAGTCAATCTTCATGTTATAACTTGGATTTAAATGACTCAAAAAGTTTCATCTACTGAAGAATTTGTCCCGTCCATTTGGTCTTATTACAAGGAAACAGAAATTTTAAGGGAGGCACGCTGGAGGGTTACTTTGATGCAACAACTTGGGGAAGCATTGCTTTCAGGATTCCACTTTGTTCTTGACCGTATCCGGTTACTTTTCTCCACTTTTCTCCAATGTTGTCTGTTTTCTTCTTTTACTTCCTTCTCCTCTCTCTCTCTCTCTCTCCCTCTCCCTCTCCCTCTCCCTCTCTCTCTCTCTCTCTCTCTCTCTCTCTCTCTCTCTCTTTCTCTATCACTCTTTTTCTCTCTTGCTTCCTCCTCCCTCTCATCATGTTCCCTGTTTCACACTAGAGCTGAAGTGCCTCCTAGTAACCATGAACTGAAGCCAGTAATGTGGATTTGTGCAAAACAATAAAGATTGCTTCCTTTAATTTTCTCAGGTATTGTATCATAGCAGTGGAAAAAATAGAATACATATGTTATCAAAAAATGGTATACATGATTACAAAACTAATCAAGCAGGATTTCTTTTAATGTTCTTTTCAATTCTTCAATTCACTTATGTGATTACTCATAGGTATTTGACATATAGTAATCTATTGCAGCATTTCCAATGTGATCTGTATTTTCTATTTTATCTATATTTATTAAGAAGGTTGATAATATCAATGAATAATTCTGAGTAATCATCCTGGGAAAATTGTCACCATGTCTTGAATACCATTTTTTTCTCTTGTTCTTTGATCAGGTGACAATTCCAGGAGTTCCTTAAAACCTTGTAACTTTAATGATGAGATCCTCTTTCTTTGATTGTCTTGACTCTTTCCAACTAGAACATATACAACAAAAAACATAAACATGAAAACAAAATCAGTAAAATCTGGTGAAAATGTATTAGTCTCTAGATTCTTCACAGAATAATCTACTTCCACCCATCACCTTTGTTACAATGACTACTTTTGGAGGATTTTAGTTAATACTGTAAAATAAATTATGTAGTAAGTTGTAAGTGAGATTTAGTACTTTCTATGTTGGTCATTAGGGGATTACCAAATTAGTTTTGAAAGAAAGCATTTGAAGTACAGCAAAAATGTTAAAAAATTTACTCCATTAATTTCCTTGTTAAGATCTCTTAATAAACCTACACATTGTTCTCTACCTGAATATTTTGATTTCTAGGAAAACCAAGGTGGCACTTCTGGCTGGCACATTCTACTGGGGACGACTGCCAGCTAGTCTGTTCCCCTAAAGACACCACAGCCTACACGTATCCCAGGAGACCTGCTGCACATAGTGCAACAGCTAAGGATCCTCCCAAAGTCCAACAGCTGCCACTGGGAGCCCAGTGGACTAAGGACTCATCACCTCCCCAAAAATCTCCCTCCTACCCACCAAATTCCATTCCACTTTTTGATCTCAAAAAATGCAGAGATCTCCTGTGCTCATGGATAGGCAGAATTAACATAGTAAAAGTGGCCATCCTACCAAAGATAATCTATAGATTCAATGTAATCCTCATCAAAATCCCAACACAATTCTTCAAAGACATAGAAAGAGCAATTCAGAAATTCATTGGAAAAGAAAAAAATATCAAAAACAATACTTAACAATAAAAGAGTGGCTGGGGGATTCACCATCCCTGTCCTCAAGCTTTCCTACAGAGCAATAGTGATAAAAAAAAAAACTGCATGGTTTTGGTATAGAGACAGACAAGTTGAGCAATGGAATAAAATTGAAGACTCAGAAATAAAACAACACACTTATAGGCACTTTATCTTTGACAAAGAAGCCAATCATACACAATGGAAAAAAGAAAGCATCTTCAACAAATGGTGCTGGTCTTACTGGCTGTCAATATGTAGAAAAAGAAAATAGAAGCATATTTGTCACATTGCAGAAACTCAGGTCCAAGTGAATGAAAGACCTCAACATAAAAGCAGATACACTCACTCTAATAGAAGAGAAAGTGGGAAAGAGCCTTGAACTTATTGGCATAGGGGGAAATTTCCTACACAGAACTCCAATGGCTCATACTCTAAGATCAAGAATTGATAAATAGGTAAATGGGACCTCATTAAACTGGATTCTGAAAGGCAAAAGACATAGCAAATAAAACAAATTGGCAACCGACAGATTAGTAAAAAAAAAAAAAATTAATTAAACTCACATCCGACTGAGGGATAGTATCTAAAATATATAAGGAACTCAAGAAGCTAACACCATAAACAAAAAAAAAACAAAAAAAACAAAAACAAAAAACACCCAATCAAAAAATGGGGTATAGAATTAAACAGAATTCACAACAAAGGAATCTCGAATGGTTGAGAAGCACCTAAAGAAATGCTTAAAGTCCTTAGTGATCGGAGAAATAAGAATCAAAATGACCCTGAGATTCCCCCTTATACCAATCAGAATAGCTAAAATCAAAACCTCAGGCAACAGCACATGTTTGTGAGGATGTAGAGAAACAGAAACACTCCTCAATTACAGGTGGGATTGCAAACTGGTAAAACCACTCTGAAAATCAATCTGGAGGTTCCTCAGGAAATTGGAAATAGACCTCCCTGAAGATTCAGCAATACCACTCTTGGGCATATACCCAAAAGATGCCCCACCATGCCACAGGGGCACTAATCTCACTATGTTCATAGCAGCCTTGGTTGTAATAGCAAGAAGCTGGAAGCAACCCAGATTTCCCATGACAAAAGAATAGATACAGGCCGGACGGTGGTGGCGCACGCCTTTAATCCCAGCACTTGGGAGGCAGAGGCAGGCGGATTTCTGAGTTTGAGAGTTCGAGAATTCGAGGCTAGCCCGGTCTACAGAGTGAGTTCCAGGACAGCCAGGGCTACACAGAGAAACCCTGTCTCGAAAAAACAAAAAACAAACAAAAAAAAAAAAACAAAAAACAAAAAAACAAAAAAAGAATAGATACAGAAAATGTGATTCATTTACACAAAAGAGTACTACTCAGCTATTAGTAATGAGGGCATCCTGAGTTTTGCAGGCAAATGGATAGAACTAGAAAATATCATCATGAGTGAGGTAATCAGACACAAAAGAACATGCATGTTATTTAGTCACTAGTAAGTGGATATTAGCCAGTAAAAAATACAGAATACCCATGATACAGTCCACAGAACTCAAAAACGTCAACAAGCTGAAGGGCCCAAGTGAGAATGCTTCAGTCCCACTTTGAAGGGAGAAGAAAGCAATAAGAAGTGGGGAGGAAGGGAGGGACCATGGAGGGAAAGTCAATGGGGATGGGGGGGGGAAGATGGGAACATGATCTGGTATTGAGTGAGGGAAAAGGACTGAACCCCTGAGGGCCAGCATAAAGAATGAGAACAGGCAACCTTGGGAGGTGGGAGGTTGGGGGACCCTCCAGAGTGCACCAGAGACCTGGGAGGTGAGAGACTCAAGACTTAAAGGCAGGGACCTTAGATGAAATGCCCAACAGTAGGGAGAGTGAAAGTATAGAGCCCATCTCCAACAGGAAGACAGGGCATCCACTGAGGGAGGGTGTTGCCATCCCACAAACAAAATTCTCACCCAAAATTTTTCTGAAAACGACTGTCTGAAAGAACTGCAGGGATGGAAATGGAGAGGAACCTGAGGAAAAAGGGGGCCAGTGACAGGCCCAAAATGGGATGCACTCAAGGGGAGGTCCCAAGACCTGACACTATTATTGAGGCTATGAAGCACTCACAAAAAGGAACCTATTGTGACTGCCCACTGAAAGACCCATCAAGCAGCTAAGAGTCAGATACAGATATTTGCACCCAACCAATGGACAGAAGCTGCTAACCCCTGTGGTTGAGTTAAGGAAAAGCTGGAAGAAGCTGAGGAGGAGGGAAACCCTGTAGAAGAACCAACAGTCTCAATTAACCTGCACTCCTGAGATCTCTCAAACACTGGACCACCAACCAGGCAGCATACAGCAGCTGATATGAGGCCCTCAACACATACACAGCAAAGGATTTCTGTCAGAGAAGATGCATTTTACCCTCAAGAGACTGAAAGCCCCAGGGAATTTAGAGGTCTGGTGGGGTTTTGGTTGGAGAGAGGGGGTGGGGAGGAGGTATGGGATGTGAAACAGTCAAAGGGAATAAAATTTAGACTTTAAAATTAATTAATTAATTAATTAATTAATTAATTTTAAAAAAAAGAAAATACAGGAAAACACTATCAAAAAGGTAAAGAAATTGAATAAATCAGCCCAGGTTCTAAAAGAGGAAGATGAAACAATAAAGGAAACACAAATCGAGGCAAACCTGGAAATAGAAAACCTAGGAAAGAGGTCAGGAATTACAGATGTAAGATCAACAACAGAATAAAAGAAATAGAAGAGAGAGTCTCAGAAGTAGAATATACCATAGAAGAGATTGAAACAACTGTCAAAGAAAATTCAAAACATAAAAAAAACTCCTAACTACCCAGTGCTGGTGAATCACGGATATTGGAGGAGACTCTGTAGCCTCTAATTTACTAAATCAGCATAATCCCTACTAGCAATCTAAACATTCATCCTCATACATTGTACTGGCTGAATTTTTGTGTGTCAACTTGACACAAGATAGAGTTATCACAGAAAAAGGACCCTTCATTGAGGAAATGCTTCCATGAGATCCAGCTCTGAGGCATTTCCTCAATTAGTGATTAAGGGTGGGAGGGCCCATAGTGAATGGTGCCATCTCTGGGCTGGTAATCTTGGGTTCTATAAGAAGGCAAACTGAGCAAGACAGGAGAAGCAAGTCAGTAAGCACCACACCTCCATGACCTCTGCACCAGCTTCTGTCTCCAGGTTCCTAGCCTGTGTGAGTTCCTGTCCTGACTTCCTTTGGTGATGAACAGCAATGTACAAGTGTAAGCTGAATAAACCCTTTCCTCCCCAACTTCTATCTCGGTAATGATGTTTTCTGCAGGAATAGAAACTCTGACTAAGATGTACCTATAGATAGGGATAGAAACTCCTCATCAAGGAAACTTCTCTTTGCAACAGACAAAAACAAGCAATCAAAATGCAGAGTTGTGGAGCCTAGTCTTTTTGGATACATCTACAATATACTCCCAAACCTAAGGTTCAGGGAACACTGTAGACAAGATGGGCAGATTATAAGAGCCAGAGGATTGGAGAGTCTGATGTTAGATTGTGTCTTCAAGTAATGTCAGAAACAACATCCATAGATTCTAACCAAAATCTCATCCCTGAAGTCACAATGACTGCCCAAACATGAGCTGAACAAGGATCACACCAATAGATGGTGCCAAACTGGGTGGAGAAAATTTCATGAGGCCTCAACCCTACACAAGCCAGTAAAGAATGCTGAAAGTGGGAGAGATTGTCTTCCCCAGGGAAGAGCATGAAATTAGTTGTCCAATACCAAGTAGTCAATCCTGAAAATATGCATATAAGTAGCATTATACAGACTGCTCAGAACATTTGTGTATGTGTGTGTGAGTGTGTGTGTGGGTGTGCAACAATGAAGAAAGTGCCCTTGAATTTAGAGGCTAGCAAGGAGGACTGAATAGGAAAGGGAAAGGGGGAAAATGTTGTAATTATCTTATTAGCTCAAAAGGTTTTTTTTTTTAAAAAAAATGTGTCTTATGAAGATAACTGGAGTAAAATGAAACAAGAAAAATAAAAACCAAGGAATTCTAGTGTAATTTTGAAGCTATTGATAAGCTAATGGCAATCAGCGTATGGGTGAAAAGAACCTCCTAATCCAAAATATCCAGGGAATCTAGAAGAAACTGAAAAAGACCAAATCTGAGAATAATAGGAAGAGGTTAACAAAGATTCCCAGCTCAAGGGAACTGAAAACATTT